GATGATCCTGGGCAGAGGTGGAAATTTCAGTGTGGAATGTCTGCAAGGCTGTGCTTGTAACCTGCCTCACCCTGTGATCAGCCAGGAACTCCCCTGCTGCTTCACTTCAATACCTGCACACAAACAAGAGTTGTGTTCTCTCTTTCCTACAGTTTGGGGGAAAGAAAACCGAAACCATTTCTATTTTTAAAACCTGAAAATGCCTCAATGCATTAACAGTCTTCTGTACAAAAAGCAAAGACTGTCTAAAATTCAGAAAAACAGGATTAGACAAAGGTAAACTAGTCGTGATGTCTTTGGCTATGAAACAGCAGCTAAATGGTTAAATTTTTATAATTTATTAAGCCATTTTACCACATCTATAACTTAATTTGCCTTGTACAGACACAGCAAAAGATTCTGTTTTCTTTCTCCTGGTATTTTCTTTTATTTTAAGGGCTTTGCCATTCAAGCTGCTTTAATCTTTGTAGATAAATCTTCAGGTTTTGAAATTTTTCTTTTCTCTCTAAAGACTTCAGCTGTCTTAAGCCTTTACATTTCATTGTGTTTAAATATTTTAGACAATTTGAAGCCCTATTTATAAATGGATATCATTAAGATTAGGCTCTAATAAGTGCTAATCTTTCCCTCCAACCAGGGAGATAAAGCCTGTCTTAAACCTGAATGGCTTAAAACGAGTTCATTTTTTTTTTTTTCCCTCATAAAGTGAGCAAATAAAACACTTCCCAGCAGCTGTATTCACTGGAAATAATCCTCCCATTTATTAGAGCAAAGTGCTTTTCCTTGGAGGTATCAGCCTGCTTTGCCTTCAGATGTGCAGGCTGCAGGTCACAGAGCCTGAAACGTGGTCATGAAACCTGAAAATCTCCTGGCCTCACAGAAAACCCCCAACTTGGCTCCAATTTTGGCTGCTTTTTGTTGAGTTTTGGGTCAAGCAGGGCCAATGAAGGCACTGTGTGTTTTTAGTTCAAGGCACAAATTAATGGCCTGGTCTGCACTGCACACCTCAAGGTCAACACTTCTCTTTTCATCAGGGAAATTCTGAAATGCTTGGAGGTGTTGAGTTCATTTCTGCCTGTGCTTGGCTGAGCCCAAGGTTTGTGATCAAACCAGGAGCTCTGGCTGAGCAAGGAAATCTTTTTTTTTTATGAAGAATGCAAAAAAATGACTGAACACGGCAATTTAATGTGTTTCTCTGGGAAGTGTGATGGAAAATTTTGGCAGAAAATCAAACCCTGCTTGGGTTTTGCTCCCCAATGGACTTAATTAGCCCTCTACTATCGACCAAAAGGGATGGAGCTGTCCAGGGTTTCCCTAGATTTAAATAGCTGTAATACTCCAGACCATCTTAAATGGGATCTGGTGTGCCTAAGGGTAAAAGATCTTCATCTCATTGGTAGCTGTCATTCCAATGTGCCTCTGCAGCCAAAAACAGGGGAGGAAGTGGGAAAACAAGGTTCTTGCTGTATGGCCAAAATGGAGCAAATAATTCACAACTAACAGGTAACACAATCTCCTCCTGAGGATTAAGAATACCCTGTTTTTATTGAAAATGCACTTATTGAAAGCCATCAGGTAAGTAAAATTATGTTGCTTCTATTTCTTGCCTGAGTTCCAGAGCAAATTGAAAGTTCATTTATTGCAGGTCCTGGTTTACAAGGTTCTAAAACTGGCCTTTGGTAAATGGTCATGAAAGTGGGATTTGAACTGCATGAAAGTTTGTGGAAAGTGATCAAAGGCAGTTTGGAAAAAATTAAATTCTATTTCCTGATCATTCTTCATTTCCAGTATTGATATAACTCATAGCCCTGCAAGCTCAGAAATTTTGATCTGGAACCTCACCTAAAACTTCAAACAAATGTGAGGGATTGCAAATCCAAGTAGGAATGTGGGTTGGTACAACCCCTAAAAACCACTCGTGGTCAGTCCCTCAGTCACCTCTGTGCTCAGGAGTTCTTTCTAACAGTGGCTGTAAATACAGAGCTTCAAAACCAGTTGAAAATCTTTTAATATGGATGAAAAGCCCCCCCAGAGTTAATAAACCTGGCTCATTTTTGTCAGGAGCAGTATGAGAACAAAGGAAGAGAATGGCAACAGAAGGTTTATAACTTATAGTACAACTCCACCAGATGGATCTGAGTTGAATTTCAGTTTTTATTTTCTTTATAAACTTTATGTTTACTTCCAATAAAAGTGACTGTGGGAGAAATCAGGCAAGCCCCGACTTCTTTGTGTGATCTGCATTTGTGAAAGCTGATTGCAAAAATAGGGAATTCTGTTTATGAGAATCAGAGCTTGATAAATGAAACAAAAAATACAACTGAGCATTGGAGGAGACACATAAAATGGCTGGAAGTTAAATAATCTAATTATAAACAAGATTATGTAGAGGATGCCAGCATCAAATCTCATGCATGTAAATCTAAGGGGACAAACCTCAACAAAACAGGCTCTTGATGCTCTTCCAGCTGAGGTCCTTGATCCAGAGCTCACAAAGCTCACAAAACTTAAATGAATCATTCAATTTTTGGATGCTGAGTGCCAATTTTTCTGCAGGAAATTACCTTACATCTAAAATTGCATTTTTCCTAGAGGAAACTTCACAATTAAAAGCAGTCTTGAGTATTGTAACATAATTTATGTAAAATGGTGTATTGCTTCTAATTTCTTTGAAAAGAACAGATAAGTATCCCATGTACAATGGGATGCCTTTCAGTAAGGCATTATTATAAAATATTAAAAACTCTATTCATCTGGCTACTAAGAACATGATTTTCCTGCAGGGAAGAACATGTTATAATGCTACAAAAGAACACTCCAGGCAAGGTCCAGAATACAGAATATTTTCAGGTTGATTACACACTATGCAAACTACTTGAGTTCCTTCTCAAGATCAAAAAATCCATAAATCCATATGTGTTTCCACAGGCTCTCCACTCAAATTGCCTGTCAGAGTAAAAAAATCTTGAAAACTGTGCTGTAACCAGGATGATGAAGGAAAATTACTGCCAGACAGATTATATAGTGAAGAAAAACGGGGTAAGTTATTGTGTGCCTCCTAGCCTGAATATATATATGGGACAAATGCAAATTTGCCAAATGAAATACAGCTTAGAGTGCATAAATTTCAAACAGATAATTCTTTGTCCTTATTAAATCCTGGCTTGGATCATGGAGTGCTTTTTTCCCCTGAAACTCCAGCTTTTCTGTGGAGGCTGTTTATCCCCTGAAGGAGCATCAATTATAAATAATGGTCAAGCCACCCAAACTGGAAGGACACGACTCGAAGCAAATAAACTGCAGCAATATAACTGATAAAAACTCGAATATTGCCATGCACTCCAGGTCTCCTTTGAGGGGGAGGCATGCAAATTATCATTTATTGGCAGGGACATAAATAAATACCTGGGGCTGGATGTGATGCATGGATCTACAACTGCACAAATCTACAGGCTGGGCATAAATAGGGCTTTTGTGAAAAATTAAACATCCCAATGATGTTTAGCTCTGTGGGTCCTGAGCACTAACTAAAGGTTAGTGTGGATAATGGGATAACTTGTAAAAAAAGCCATTTGAAGCCTCCTTGCGCTCAGCGAGGTTGATTTAGATTTTACCTATTTAAAGCACGGCACTAAATGAGCAGGAAGAGCAGATTGCTTCCTCCAGAGTGGCGAATAAATAACAGGTTAAAGCGAAACCACAGAAAAGCCTGCATTCAAAGACAAACAGGGGGATGTTTTGAGAAGCTCGGGAATAAAGGTTGGAAGGAGACGGGAGGGGGCTCATTGAAAAGAGGGAGAGGGAGGCCCTTTTTAGAAGGGCCTGGAGTGACAGGACAAGGGAGTGACAGTTTTAAATTGATGAAAGGCGGGTTTAGATGACAGGACAAGGGGGTGATAGTTTTAAATTGAGGGAAGGCAGGTTTAGATAAGGAGGGAATTGCTGTTCCCTCTGAGGGCGGCGAGGCCCTGGCACAGCGCGCCCACAGCGCCTGCTGTGGCTGCCCCGCCCCTGGAAGCGTCCAAGGCTTGGCGGGGCTGCCAGCAACAAGTGGAAAGTGCCCTTGCCACGGCAGCAGAAGCACTGGGTGATCTTTAATGTTCCTTTTAACCCAGCTTATTCCGCAGTTCTGTGATAAATAAAGCTCTGCCCTCAGCCGCGCTCTGCGCTCCCCACATGGAATCATCTCTCCCCTTGTCCCCCCCCACGGCAGCGCTCAATGGACTCTCCCGCGCTGCCATGGCAACGGCGCCACGCTCAGGGATCGAGGGGCGGCGGGGCCGGGACCACCACAGGGACCGGGACAGCGACAGCCCCTGGATAGCGACAGACCTCGAGACAGCGACAGGGACAGCGACAGCCCCCCGGGACAGCGACAGACCCCGCCGGGGTGAGCCCTCAGCTGCCCCCCAGCCCCTGCCGGGGTGAGCCCTGCCGGTTCCCCTCAGGAGCCGAAGCTCCCTGCGCGCAGCCCATGCCCGAGGGAGGCTGAGAGTACCGGGGCCGGTGTGAGTTGTGTAAATGCCCCCAGAGTGTGCCCCGAGAGTACCGGGGCAGGTGTGAGTTGTGCAAATGCCCCCAGAGTGTGCCCTGAGAGTACCGGGGCCGGTGTGAGTTGTGTAAATGCCCCCAGAGTGTGCCCCGAGAGTACCGGGGCCGGTGTGAGTTGTGTAAATGCCCCCAGAGTGTGCCCCGAGAGTACCGGGGCCGGTGTGAGTTGTGTAAATGCCCCCAGAGTGTGCCCCGAGAGTACCGGAGCAGGTGTGAGTTGTGCAAATGCCCCCAGAGAGTGCCCTTAGAGTAGCGGGGCAGGTGTGAGTTGTGCAAATGCCCCCAGAGAGTGCCCTTAGAGTAGCGGGGCAGGTGTGAGTTGTGTAAATGCCCCAAATGTGCCCGGCAGTGCCCTGGGCACACACCCGCAAAGCTGGCCCTGTTCTCTCCATCGCTCCTCTCACGCCTTTCTGGTTTTAGGTTACAGTTCGTTCTTCCCTGCCCCGCCGAGTTTTCATCAGCCTTGAAAGGACGCCGGTAATGAAAGGAAAAAAACCCAAACAGCCCCAAGCTTTACTACGGCGCTTTTTACACTTTTATTTTCTGTCTGCCCTTGTGCTCTGCTGTTTCCCCAGAGCCACCATCGGAACCGAGTACAGCCCGCAGACCCATCCCACAGCGGGCCTTGAGCGGAGCTTTAAAGGCAAGTTCTGGCTCTGCTGCCATCATCCACCTGTTGTTTATCGCCCCACCTGTTGCTTATCACCTTATCTGTTGTTTATCACCTTATCTGTTATTTATCACCTTGTCTGTTATTTAGCACCCCATCTGTTATTTATCGCCCCACCTGCTTTTTTTCCCCTGCTCTGCTCGGGGCAGAACTGCTGTAGCTCCATACTGTGGGTAAGATTTTTCTCTTGAGAAATGTGCTTTGTAATGTGGGGTGGGTTTTTGGGTTCTGTGGTTTTTTTTTTTTGTTGCGGTTTTTCTTTTTTTTCTTTTTGGTTACTTTTTGTTTCTTTTTTAGTAGACTGTGTGGAAAGGCTCCTGCTTGTAGCCTTTGTGTTTGAAGTTATTTACAACACAGCTGAAATTACAATTCTTGGTTAAACAGTTGCAGTGGGTTGATTATGGTTTTTTTTCCCCTTAACTAAAAACCAAACTGTTTCAAACCACCACAACAGTGAAGATACAGAAACCATAGAAAGAGGTGTTGAGTTTGCAGAGTTACCAAGATAATGCATCCTTCCAAAGTGTGGTGAAATTGCAGCATATGGTAAAATGACTTAGGGAAAGTGGCATTTAGTAAGTTGCACGTTGTTTTCCTGATCTGACTTCATGTGTGTTATAGAGTGTTACACATAGAAGTGGATAATTGGTTTAAAAATAGAAAGTGGGGTTTGAAATGATTGGTGTCACAGATGTTGGGGCATGGAGAATACGAATTTATTCTGAAAGTCTGGAATTATTTCAGCATGCCTGAATTAAAGTTTATGCGTAATTTTTTTTTCTTATATTTTTAATGTCATTCTTTTTCCTCTTTCTTTAAAGTAGCTAGCATAATATTAAACGTTTGGAAGGACCAGAAGTCTCTGTTGTTGTAATTAACAGCAAATGGGTGAGGAGTGATGATAGACAAACTCTTTAATGCACTTGCAATAATTCTTCAAAGGAAGTAATTTGGTTTGAGTATTGGTAAGTGGATGGAAGTTAGTGTAGCATGAAATCCACATTCATGGTGTTGATAATGGGATGTGAGCTATTGCACAGACAGCAGCATCCCTCGGGATTTGATGGGTTTATTGATGTGAGGAAACTGTTGGAATTTACCCTGGTTAAACTCTTGTAGTGTGAAAAAAACTACACCCATCTTCAGCTGTCTGTAAGTTACAAACCTGTCTTTAAATTGATTAGGAAGAGACTTGAGCCAAACTGGGGTACAGACTATGTGGAGTTTGGGTTTCTTTAGCTATGTAGTCTTTAAAGTTGACTCAAGCTTTGTTTAGCTCAAACAGCAGGTTTTAGTTTGTTACTTTTAGCTGTACATCCATTATCAGCACAGAGGAACCTGCTGGAATGATGAAATTTGAGTACCAGTGTGGCAGGGGAGCAGGCAGAAAGGATGTGGCTAATTAGTGCTTGATTTATTTATGTTGATGAGGTGCTTTAGTGTTTGCCTCGCTGGCAAATTGTGTTGCCTGGTAGAGAGAAGAGGGATTCATTAAAGAAAAACCAGACAGAAAGAGGGAACCCCTCTGTGTGTTTAAATTCCAAGTGTATTTCTGAGGAGTTTGGGATTGCCTTTGCTGCACTTCCCTGGCAGCCCTGAGGGCCCAGCTCAGGGAAATTTTAGGGTGTGCATTTCCCCAGGGGGTTTAACTTTGACTCTTCCAGTCTCAGTGTTTAACAGTTGTTTTTATGCTTTATCTGTTCAATAATTCCTGTGTTTTCTCAGAATACTTCAGGAGGTTGATCACTGTCTATCCCTTGTTATCTACAATTTGATGCTGTTTTCTCTCTACCCAGTGTTCTTGAAAATCTGGAGGGCTTTTTATCTCTAATATTCTCACACAGCATCTCTGATATTTATCTCTGCTATCACACCATTTTTAAGTTATCCCTTTAAGTATTTGCTTTCAGTGGAATGTGCTAAAGTTAACTTGTATAAATGGTATTTTTTTATTAACTACTTTCCCTCCTTGAGCTTGCTCAGCTGACCTGTATTTTACTATTAAATAGCCTTTGGGCCCCTCAAACCCAGTGTGTGACCTCCTCCTGTCCAGCTGTGCTGGTCCTGCTAGCTAACATTAGCCAAGAGAAAAAACTTTCTTCTATTCAGAATTGATAAAATCTTCTTTTATCTTGGAAAGTGATAAAGGGATAATTGTTTGAAATGGTGTTAAAATTGAGTGCTTGGGTTTTGTGACACAATAAGAAAAATGTTTTGTGCACAAATCTGATGCTTTGTCAGCACTGAAATGCTGCATTTTAGGTTCTGTGGCATCGGGTGTTTTAACTTCCACGTGCCATTGAGGTGTTTGGGCCCATGGGTGGAGATTTTTTTGAGCACATTTTATCTGTATTAATGCTGAATTTCAGGCAATTTTCCATTTGGGAAATTTCCAATCCTTATCATTTCCCTAGGTCCTGCTCTCCCCAGGAAGCTGAGATCCATGGGCTACAGAAGAGTTTCCAAGCACCCTGGCAGCTCTAAGTCTCTGCACTGTCAACTTTTGTTTCTTTTTCCATTAGCCATTATTCCATTCTTTTTCCATTATTTCCAGCAGCAGCAGGAAATGCCCAGTTTTGCACTGAGCTGCATTTATCCCACAAACATTCCAGCCCAGCAAGGCTCTGGGTGTTCACCCTCAATTTAAACCCCCTGCTGTATGATTTGCTTTTTTGGCAGAGTATTTTCTTTTACAACCTGGGTAAAAAAGAAAAATTAAAAAAATCAAGTATTCAAAATACCACTGAATTCTTGAGAGGAGGGATTAGCTCTGCTCTGTGAGTTATTGTGTTCCTCTATATCAATTTGTCTGTGACAGAAGGAATTTATCTTCCCAAATCAGGTGAGATGGTTTCACTTCATAGCCATTGGTACAATTTTCTTCTCCTTGGTGTTTTCTATAGTTTTGGTTCAAGAAAGCTGTGTTTTAGTTAATATTAATCTGCTTGCACATGAACTTTAGGGAATTGCCCAAATCAAACAGCCAAGGAACTCTTTTCCCTGGTATCATAAATGTAATAAAAAAAGGGTTTTTTTTCCCAGTTAAATTTAATTTTCAGTTGCTCTAGGATTTTATTGGCACTTCATATAAACAAGTTTTGTGCTCCATTTCCCTCTATATATGAGTGGTTTTGGATGTGTAATGAGTTTTTTACTGTTTTAATTTCAATCAAATTCCCATTCCAACAGGTTCCTAACTCTAAATCCTCGAAATTCTCTTCTTTTAGGAGAAGTTGTACTGGGCATCATGAATGTCAATGATTTTGTAATTCTCCCAGGCTCAAAAGCTGGAACCTCAGTGAGATTAAAAACAAAGTAAGTGCCTTCAATCTGATTGGGATTGAGATGTGCTTTCATAGTTTTTAATAAGTTTAATGCAACATTAACTGAAAGAATGGAAGAGCAAGAAGAATCATGATGTGTTTCTTTTCTAGCATTTCTCTATGCTTTTATCCACAAGCCTTTCTTTTCTCAGGCTTTAATCTACTTCCTGATTAAATTATAGGTTTTATGACCAACCCTGTGTATCCACTGGATAACACTAGCACACTAAAGAAATCAGTGGATTGTTTGTTTTAATATAATTATACCCCAAACCTTTCTGAGTACAGGCACAGTTGTATCAGTTTGTTTGTTGGAATTTGCACTTGACCTGTCCTAAATTTTCCAGAGCTGTTTTCAGTCCTGCTGGGAGATACAGGAGGGACATGGCTATAATGACAAATTTTCCAGCTTCTTTAAAGTTCTTCAGATACCTTACTGACTTCCAGGTGACTTCTAATGAATATTTCACTATTTCCTCCAGAACTGTCAAGGAATTGCAGCTGGAGAAAGCTCAGTTGGAAGCAGAAAACAAAGAGATGGAGAGGAGATTATTGCAGCTGCAGTCAAACATGAGCAGAGAAAAAGAAGAGAGGAGGTAGGTTCAGTTTCTCTCTGGAAAAAAGGAATCCAGTGAGATGCTCCCTCCACACCTCCAACTCCCCATGTGGGATCTTTTGTAAAGTTTGGAATTTACAGTTAGATTGCAGAGAGGAGACTGAATTTACAGTTAGATTGCAGAGAGGAGACTGAATATTTCTTCCCAATGTTAAACTTGCTTCCTTATGACTTTGATGATATTTGATCTGTTTTCCTCATTTATTCCCTCTCCCTTTTTCTCCTGGCTGGCTGGATTTGTCCCCTTAGTTTTCAAACAGGAGACAGAGTAGTTTCTCCTTGCTTATTTCTGATGTTTCTGCAGAGGATGCTGTTGATATTTTTGATATATTTTTGATCCCCTTTTACATTTGCGTGGCTTCCCAGGGAGGCCTCTCCTGCATGGTGGCAAACAGGGCTTGGAACCAGGCACAGTGTAACGAGGCAAATGCTGGGGTGAGGTTTCAATCTGAGTCACTCTGAGTGCTGGCAAATTCCTGCAACACCTGCTTCCTTTTCCTTGAGTTTCTGCCTGCTGGGAATGCAAATGCCTTGGCTTTGGATGCCTTGGTGCTGCTGAGCTGTTGGCAGCTCTGTGAGCACTGCCCTGAGCTGCTGGGGCAGTGTTTTCCAGGGCATGTGTGGCACTTTTGTCTCCATGGTGTTGTTGGTTTGTTCTCAAGGCCTTGTCCCTGCAGCCCCTGATAGGGTGGCAGTGCTGAGCTCCAAGGACAGGAGGCTTTGGCATTTGCAGCACTGCAATCGTGGAGTGGTTTGGGCTGGAAAGGATCTGAGAGTTCCTGCATTGTTAGCAGTGCTGGATCAAGTCCTGCAGTAAACTGGGACAATGAAGGCTCACACAAAATGTACTTTTGTTTTTATTCTTCTGAAACCAACCTTTGAGAATTGATAAGTTTTTATTTTTTTTTTAAGTTTATAAACTTGGACCAATTTAATGGCTTAAAGATAAGCACTTTCTCACACATTTGTTGTATTTGCTGCTTTTAAAGGAGACTTGAAGCAGGTTTCAGTGGAAGAGAGTATTTGTGCTTTTGGGAACTTGATTGTCCTGTAGAGAAGAATTTTATTTTTGTGATGTTTTGTTCATATTTAACAAGCTGAAGGAAAATTTTTGTGCTTCTCTTGCTTGCAGAAGGCTGAATTCTGAAGTATTTTCTTGCCTTGGTTTGTAGGAAGTTGGGTGCTTATCATTGGAAATCTGGGCAGGCAGGACCAAGGACCCCCCAAACCCGAACTGTGGCACAAAATAATGAAAACAGGAAAAAGGTAGGAAACCATATTTGCAAGTAAAGCTATCTAAAGTAAAACAAGATTTAGAACTGGATTTTTGCTGCAGAACAGGAACATTTCAAATACTGCAAAACCAAGAGGTTGAGCCCCATCAGAGTAAAATTCCTGACTGCTTATTTTTCTGTGCCAAGCTTCTGATTCCCTTTGAGCTGGAGGAACATCAAATTTTGTTGGGTGATCAGTTGCAATAAACAGCAAATTATCCCTGCTCCTACAGATTTAATCCTGTCAGAGTGGCACTGGTAGTGCTGGAACTCATCAGGAGCCTGGCTTTGGCTGGCTGGTGCCCAGGATGGATCTGAAATACTGAAAGGCTTTGGGTGAAACTTGGAGTGCAAATTCTTTGCCTTCCCAGATAAAATACACCACAGTTCAAGTCTTTAACTCAGTTATATTGACTCTTGTTTTATGACATCCTTGCTCAGACCTAAAAAGAAGGGATGTAGAACTTTCCTGCTAAAAGGAAAAATCTGTTTTCTCTTCAGTAAGTACAAAAGGGGAACTTATCTTCTTTTGGAAAAATCTGTGGCAAATTTTTTAAACATGCAGAAAATGAGAACTCAATAGAATTGCCTCCTTGTTTGTGAGAGGAGAGGATCAGAATGAAAAGGTTTTCTTTACACACCTCTTTCCCTTCCCCATTCTCTGAGACAAGGAACTCGTAGCTGTTGCTGCTTCGAGGACTTGAGGTTTCAGCTGGGGTGGCTGAGGAGATGAATGGGCAGAACTCTAAAAACAGCAAAATTAAAATAAGGGGTGAGTGAGGGGTAGTGTGGCTGCAGGATGAACTCAGTTTGCAGGGGAAAACTGAGGAGCAAAAATGCTGAAAATTATGAATTACTGGGATGTTAAATCATGGAAGGGCTAGGTGGACAATGTTTCATGTCTGGGGAGGGAAACTGGTCCTGGGCTTCATGGCTGTCATGAGCAATACATGGAGTATTCTCTTTAAATGCATGCCCTATTTCCCTAAAATAATTTTCATTCTGTAAAACTTGCTGTTTGTTCATTAGCATTAAAACCTTATACAGATATATGGAAATATTCTTTCCTCTAGGTTTCTCCACAAAGAGTGAAGTTACAAGTACTCAAACAGATTCAAGGTAAAGACATCTTCCTTAACCAAATAAAACTTAAACTTCTGATAGATTATTGCTTTGTAGAGGTTGCTGCAATTAAACACTGAAGAAATCAGAGAGTGGAACACTGGATTAGTTGAGATTTTTGTTGTTTGTTTTGTTTCAGAGCCAGTGAAAAAACCAGTCAAGCCTAAAAGAGGAAATGTGGTAGCTCATGAGAAGTTGGGAGTGAAGGGGGTGGGCTATGGACCACCTGAAATTAAGGGTGGGCTGCTGGTAAGTAAATGGTTAAAAATAACTCACAGACAACACAATTTAATGTGTGTAGAATGTTTTTGTGTCACTTTCTCTCTGATAATTACTTAGTGCCTGTAAAGTAAAGAGAGATTTTACAGACTGCTCTCCCTGAATGCAAGAAACAGATGAAATGGTTCTGTTGTCAGAACTGTGACCACTTCTTTAACTGGTAACTGTTAAAGAATTTATTTAAACTCGGTTTTTATTAACTTGCCCAGCATGTGGCCGTGGCTGAAGGAGGCTGATCTCATCCTTAACTAAAGAACACTTCTTTGTGATTAAAGAAAGATGTGTGGTTGCAGGCAAAGGGGGCCAAAATTAAGTGGTCCATGAATATTTTGTAATTTTAAATCCTTACGTAAAGCATGTGTTGAATTCTGACTGATTTCCAAGCTGGCACCTTGTTAGCTGTGTTATAGTGGAAATTTCTATTATCAAGTACGAGGTGATTTCCATTTAATAAGGGTATTTTTGCCCATTAGCAAGTAGGAAATAGGAAACAAATAAGAACTAGGAAACCCAGCCTCCAAAGTGTGGTGTAGCCTCATACAACTCGATTTTAAAGTAATTTATGTGAAGTTCTACTGTTGAATAAGAAAAGAACATTTTTATTCTAAAAAAGAATAATTTCTCTTAGAGTGTGGAGGGATATCTCTCCCTCCACGATGTGATTTTTTTTTTCCCCCCCATTTTTATTAAACCAGTTGGAGATGGTTTAATAACCCTCAAAAGGAACTGATATTTTGTGCGTCTCTTTGTAACGCTTTTCCTTTGGGGAAAAAATACGCGCGGATTTGGAATTTAAGAAAACTTACCAACAAAAAAACGGCGGGGATTTTGCTGCCGTGCTCCTAATTTCATTCAACAAAGACCCTGGCACACTCCCAGCAGCGCAGATCGCGCGTGTTTCGTTTTTTCCCAGCGGTTTTTGGGGAGCGCTCCCGGCCCCGGAGCGATCCCCGGAGCGCGGGGGCGGCTGCAGTGCCGGTGACGGCCGCTCGAGGGCGCTGCTCCCCCGCGGGACGCTGCGGATCCCGGAGCGCGGATCCCGGGGAACCCCGCGCTGGCAGGGATCCAGCCGGAGCAAGAACGGGGCTGGAAATCCGCGCTGCTGCGGGGAAGTGAGCTGCCAGTCGCTGGAGTTGTTCCCTGCTGATCCTCTGCTCACACAGTGAACTTCGCGCCGTGCTCGCCCCGCACTGCAGTAAGGGGATGGGGCAGTGCCCTGGATGTGCGGATACTGACACCTTTAACAGCCACTGTTTATTGCTTTTGGAGCCACAGGTGCCATTGGATGTGCGGCCAGTCCCTGGATCAGTTAAAGCAGGTGGAAAGAAGGGTTTGGGAAAACATCCTGAGCGTATAGGGGCTGCTGATGTTTTGTGATGGTGTTCGCAGGGGTCTTAGGGTGAGGGAAGAGATGAGAATGTTGACTCCATGTTTTAGAAGGCTTCATTGATTATTTTATCATATATATTTCATATATATTATATTAAAACCATACTAAAAGAATAGAAGATATGACTTCATCAGAAGGTTGGCTAAGAATAGAGAAAGAATGATAACAGAGGTTTATGACTGACCGAGGCAGTCTGGACAGCTGGACTGTGATTGGCCATTAATTAGAAACAACCACACGAGACCAATCCCAGATGCACCTGTTGCATTCCACAGCAGCAGATAACCATCGGTTACATTTTGTTCCTGAGGCCTCTCAGCTTCTCAGGAGAAAAGAATCCTAAGGGAAGGATTTTTCAGACAATATCATGGCTGCCATGTTTGACTCTCATCTTTCTGCCTGTACCTTTGCTGCTTTGTTGTGGTAAGAGCAGGTCACTCACTTGGACAATGTGTAGACAAAGGATTTTTTTCTATAAATACATTATTTCATGGTTTTGCTTGATAATAATCCAAGAGTTTGTAATGAAAACCTTTCACAGTAATTTGTTCCTATAAAGGTTGCAAAACCACTGTGTTGAAAGTCCCAGTGTAGGAGTGTTTTTCTCCTTTTGTAGCTGTTTTTAATCAATCTCATCAATTACAGTTTGGACTTCCCTGGACTGCTGTATTAATGGCTATCCCAGTTAGCCCATTAAATGACCGTTTTCCTCTTGCTGACCTCTCCAGATGTGCCCCTGTCCACTGGGAAGCTTCAATAAGCAGCTCTTCATTAGTAAAGCACATAGCTCATAAATTCCTTTAAATGAGACATGCTGCATTAAGTGCCTCATTTAATCCCTTAGTACAGGTGGTGTCCATGGCTTTATATCCAAAACATGGGATGTGGGTGTCCATGGCCACTGCTCTGATACCAGAAACCTTTAAAAGCAGGGGTTTTGTGTGTCTGGTAATAAAAACTTTGCCTTTCTTATTTAGTTCTTGATAGATTTTTGCAGTTAATTGTGAGCAGGATCATATAAAATAGGAGTGATCTTGATTACCAGGTAGCTCAGCAGAGCCCAGCAAAGTGAGTGCTGCAGTTCCACAGCTGACACTAAAAATGCTGCTGCTCCTCAGAGATGCTTTATCAGTAACGTTGTGGAACTGATTTAGGAACCAGCCTCAGCATCAACCAGTGCAAGCCCTGGGAAGCAGCAGGACCAAGGATTGCTGCTGAGTGGTGCCTTTGATGAGAGGGCATCTGCAGAGTCTTTCCAGGAAGCTTTGCTTCAGTGGAGGAGAGGTGAGAGTGGTCCTGGAGGAGGCCTGTGTGCCAGTGAGGTCCCATCAGGTATGGTTTGTTCTGGTTAGGACATTTTAACTACATTAGGAGCCCTTTGGGAGAGTTCGATTTTAGATTAATGAAGGCAGATATTATGTGAAGCTAAGAAAGCCCATTTTACTTTTTCTCAGCGTGTCTTCATTAATAACAATCATCTCTGAAGGTTTTTTTTAATGCTATTCAGGGTGTTTAGCTCAGTTTTTGTAATGATCCCTGGCAGTGGCCAGGATGTCCAGCCCATGCCCCTGTACTCTCCCATGGCTTTGTGTCTCACGTGGCACTTCAGCATAAGCTGCAATGCTCAAACATAAAACCAGTTTCAAACTGAGGCAAGGAATGTGCAGGGCTCAGGATTTTGTGTGTTCTATCCAAGTACTTTTTCTGCTTGCCTTCCACAGGCTCTTAATATTTCTTTGTCCCAGTGAAAAGCTGCAATCAGCTGAAGTATGCATGGAAAAATATGGAAAATTCCTCTGGTCTGATTGGATTTGTGCAAATCCAATCTGTGTCTTGTTCCTCTAGTCCACGGATGGTGGTTTTTCTCTGTGCCTTTTTGTACAAAATAATATTAAACTGATTTTTTTCATTTTTTTCTCCTTTTCTTTGGGATTTTGATCTGTGGAGTCACGGATTTCCATCTCCCCCACTCTTTCTGTGGCTCCAGTGTGTAATCTGTAATAGATGAGTTTTTATGGCTGCTCCCAATACTGCCTGTGTTCTGTAAATATAATATTGCTGGCCATTTAAATTTTGGAGTTATGTGAAGACTGAACTAAGCAGGCTCAATGTGATGTTCATTCAAAAACAATGTAGGTAAAGAGGACATTTATAATGCTAAACAGCTGTATTTCTTTTTTCAAATAACTCTGACAGAAGCTGTGGGGAATTGTGAGGTACAGACCAATGTTAGTGCTCTGAAGGAACCCATCCACGTGGAATTCCAGAAGGATGGCCTGAGCTACATGGAGAAACTCCTGCTGAAGAAATACAGAAGGTATTGTTGCATTTGCTGCTCCTAATGAGAGAATTCAGAGATACCGAATTAACAAAAATCCAAATGAAACTTTTAAAATATTAGATATGTTGTCAAGGGGAGTGTATACAGGGAGATTTATTTTAATAAAATACCAGACTTGATCACTTGATAGTTCAGAATTCCTGCAAAGGAAGTATTTAGAGAGATTCTCTTTGCTCTCAGTTTATTGTGGAATTTGAAGACTGGTAATGATATTTGGCTACTTGATTTTGGGGCAATTGCTACAGGAGTTTTATAGAGAAAAGGAGTTTCCAGGATTCTTTTGTGGACATTACAGAGTTGTTTTATGAGTTCTTGAGAAGCAAAGTCACCTCAATGAAGTTAGGAGGAGTTAGTTAATGCTGCTGCAGTAAATTGGCTGGTAGGGTTTTTCCTTTTTTTGTGATATATTTTTAAAAGTATGACTTTTTAAGATTGATTTTTATTTTTTTTCCCTGTTTCAGAACTCCAGTTGATCAATTTTTTGCAAGTTGCATGAAAGATTCAAGGCCTGTGCAAGCCCTGAGTGTTCAACAGGATGGGGCTGAAGGAGGAGGACAAGGAGATGATGATGATGACATTGAGGAGTTAACAGGTGTAACAGATTTCCATTTATTCAATCCAAAATACCTTTTCCTTGAGATTTTTCTATGGTTGCTGAGCATTTCCACTCTTAACCAGTTTGCCAAAAGCAATAATAAAAGGAGAAATTTGTGGGTTTTCCATAATGAACAAAAACGTTGCATTTTTGAGTGTGTTTTGCACAGGAAAAACTGAAATGCATGAAATTATTTATATTTCACAGATGAAGAGGTGAAGAAATACTGGGCATCTATTTATAGAGCTGAAGAATCCAACACTGTTTCTGAAAATGCAGAGTCCTCTTTGCAAATTGAGTTCCTTGATGATGTGAGTACTGGTAAAGGACTTGATGAGTCTCAACAATGAACTGATTTGTTCAAGTTTTGATCTGTTAAATGTTTAAAGTAGCAGCAGTTAAATAACTTCCAATAAGGAGGAATACTGGTGCATTGTTTGTTTTCCATACAAATGTGGAAAACTGATAGTTCCAAAAGCTCCCTGTGCTTTTTTCTGTTGTGTTCAGGAACCTGCACTGTATGGGATTTATACACAAATAAAGTCTGGCAGCTTCTCAGCAGTCTTAAATTTTTTTCTTTATTTTTAAAATTTTTATTTTATTTTTTATTTTTGTTCTTTATTCAGTCTCAGAGTGAGGACTTGGAAGAATCTTCAGACTCTTCAGTGGAGGAAACTGGAGATGTGGGAATGAATAAGCAAGGAAAAACTGACCCACTGGAGGGTGGAAGGTATCAGGAATGCAGAGACTGTGGGAGAGGAAATAACCCCAAATTTGTGCTAGTTCCTGAGAAATGGAGGCTTTTCTTTGCCTCTACAGGCAGTTAGATTTGAGTTATGTGTGCAGTGTTTCAAAGCCACTAAGGAATATTAACTGCCTGTAACTAGAGAGGCATCACCTTGAAATCCTAACCCATATGGGTAAGATGCATTTCTTTGCACTTGCCTGTCCTGAATTGTAGTAAAATTCTCTTTTCTGAGCTCTTACCTCAGCAGGATCAGGAATTCACATACAGATTTTACCATGGATCAGTGCTCTGCACATTGAAGATACTCTTACTTAACTGACCTTGTAATTCCAGACAAAAACAATAATTGATACATCTGCAATTCTTCTGATCTCCCAACACTTATTGGATTAACTGTGACCTGGTTTGCTTTTTGTATCTTTCTGCTCTTTTTCCCCTCCTCTACCAAAGCTCAGCATTTGCAGACTAGGACACAGAACCAGCCCCTTAAAAGTGAAATGGGTATAATGGGAAAGTCTTCTTTCCATTTCACTTCCTCAGCTGAAACTTAATAGTTTTTACTTTTTCCTCTCAACAGAAATCCTGTTTCTCCTAAAGAAATTTCTCAAGGTAAATGTGAGAAGTTAAGTTCTTTTTATGAAAATTGATAAACTGAACACATTTATGTTTCTCATATAGGTTGGGGTAGTCAACTACAGTGGGCTGAAAAATAATTAAAGATCATTAAATTATGTCCCATTCTCTGGGCTATCACAATTTGATTTGATTGCAGTTTGATGGGCTGTGTGAGCACTGTGATAAATACCTATAACAAAGAAAACCAACTTACAGAATCATTCACAGCCTGCTAAGATGGATTTCAAACCTTATAATGCTTTTAAGGAAATTTTAATAAATTTCCACCATTGCCTTTCTTTAGCTTTAGTGGAGATTTTGTATTTTATAAATTCATGAAGAAAAGACAGTTGACTTGCAGGTTATAATTAATATTCATTACAAGTATTGCTATTTTCATGATTGTGTTGTACTTCTATAGAAAAACTGATTGTCTGCAGTGATCTTGAAATAGATGCAGTGCAGGAGGAGAGCATTGAACCCAAGGCTGGGAGAGGATCCCTGGGCTCCTGTGGACTTGCTGAGGAGATCTCTGAGCCCACTGAGGGGGTGAGCAAAGATCCCACTGGGGCTGCCCTGAGGAGCAGCAGGGGTCTGGAGACAGAACTGCAGCAGAGCAGGAGAGAGCCACAAGAACTGGGCAGGGTCTGCAACACCCAGAGCTTGGTCCTGCCTGGAACTGCAAAATCTTCAGCAGTAAGTGATGGTGTCTTTAATTGCTGAATAAATTAGGAATGGTGCTTTATCCCTTTAGATTTAGGGGATTGTCACTGCCTACCATATTTGATATGTAGGGGATGAAAGGCTCCACTTTGTGGTGCCAGGTTTTCTGTTAAGCTTCAAAAACTTCTCAGACTTAAAAAAGGTGTTGGAGGAGCAGCTCTTCCCATGTTTGCATTAAGAGTACTTCACCTCTTGTCTGAATGACCAAAAATGGTGCTCTATCTTATCTAACAAATTATTCAGATCCTCATTTGCTGAAAATAAAATTAAAAGCAAAAACAAATTATAGAAAAGGTTAGGACATTGATTTGGAGTCATTGGTAAACAGTGGTCTCCTTCCTTTATGTACCTAAAAGTGAACACAAAGAAAATCTGCTTTTCATGTCCCTAGTGCAAGAACAGACTGAAGCTCTCACAACATGAGAAGTTTTTAGGATTTTCAAGCATATCTTGAGCAAAAGGATCATCCTCATGAATATCACAGCTGGCTGTCCAAATCAGTCTGTGCTCTATCAAAAGAGCATTTTATTAATCTAAACTTGCTGGGGCAATTATCAAGTTTCCTGTTTGTAATCTCTCTGTTTTATTCAAGTTACAGGATGTAGCCAAAAGACAGAAATGTGGTTCTGCATCATATCAGGGACTTGAAGGTTTCTTTGTTGTAGGTGCAAACCCTAAACAAGAAAAGCTGGAGGCCCCTTCTTCCCTGCCTGCTGCCTCCAGCCCTAGGGACAGGAGTATCCCTTTTCCAGGTACTGTTGTGTGAATAAATCCTCAAAAACATACATATTTATCATCTTTTTACAGTTCCCTTCCATCCAGCTTGCTTTAGGAGTCACTTCAGGGTGACAGCCATGCCACATAAGTGGTGCTGGGCAAGGAGAAAATAAACTCCCTACTTTGAGGCAGCCTAGTGCCATAAAATTAATCTTTATAATTATGATTAAACTGTATATGATTATATTTATTATAGTATGTATTATGTATAATATATAATAGAATACAAATGTAATTATTTATATTGGTATATCCCCTGATAATAGAGTTCCATGAAGTTCCTATTGCTTTCCATGGTGTATATGAAACAACAAGTGAACATCATTAATCTGATTAAATCTATCACTTGAAATCAGGCTTTTAGGCTGTTGCATATCTGTAAAAAAATTTGTTGTGTGTCTTCTTTAATCTGCACATTACTGTTCCTATATTTGCTGCATTTAAATGCATATTAACACAAAACCTGCCAATAATTTGCTGTAATAATGTTGGATTTCAGGAGATGAGCAGTGGGTTTCTGAGAGGAGCCTGAGTGAATGTGCTGATGACTCTGTAGTTCAAGGTGTCTTGGAAAGTCAGCTGAACAGAGCTGCAAAAGCTTTCCAGGCTCAAAATCAACTTTCTCACCTGATGGCAGCATGGATGCCATGGCCAGGTAGGCACAGCCACAGCTCTGAGAACCTAATTAGCTTAATTTTAATTGAGGAAAATGAAATTTTTCCACAAAATTTTAATTTTCCACAATTAAAATTGGAAAATTGAATTTTGTTTGAGTCGGTCATTTCTATATCTTCATTTGTGTATTTGTATTTTGGGTTTTTTTAACAGGCTTTTTATTTTATATATTTTATATATATATATATATATTTAAAATATATATATATTTTATATATATTTTATATATATATTTATATATATTTATATATTTTATATATATTATATATAAATATATATTTATATATTTATATTTTATATATTTTATTAATATTTATTATTAATATAATAATAATTATTATTTTATATATTATATTATTATTATATGGCTTTTGTATATTTGTATTTTAGTGTTTTTTTGAATAGGCTTTGGAGTTAAAAAATACCTCTCTTCAGCTCTCACCAAGAATTCTTTGTATTTAGCTTAGTTTCTGCTTCTGCTGCTGCCCTTTTACTCCACTCTTAGCTTGAATATTTAGAGAACAAACCCTCTAGAAGAAGTTTCTGTATTTGTGTGTGTTGGTTGTCTCTGGTACAATTTGGGAGTGATCTAATAAAGGATTTCTTCTGCTACAGAAGCAAGTCTGATTATATGAACTCAAGGAAACAGGGACACAAGTAATAACTGTATCTGCACTTTTGTGTTACCTTTCTCAATTTCAACTGTCTCCATCCCAAGAAATGTAGCTCTGCATTATTTCTCACATCAGGAGCAACCAGGTTGACATTTTAATTTAAATAATGCTGTGTGCAGAAATCGAAGCTGTCAATTTTGAATCCCAGGAAAATATTGGAAAGGGTCTATATTTTATTCATGTTAGTTTAAATGAAAAAAAAAAAAAGAACCAAACTTCAGAGCTTTCTGCAATCATTCAGTGTCTCCCCTCACACAAAATTTGTGGCATTGTGCAGAATACTTAAATCATGTATTTCTTTTCTGAAAGATACTTCTGAAGTAGGAGGTGGTGAATTTATAGGTGTTAATAAAGAACTTACAAATACACTGGAAAGTACAATCTTAATTTTTTAGTAGTGATATTTTTCATTAGCTACAGTTGGTTTGAGACTTTTAATGGCAAGTTTTTTTTTCAATATTTTGAATTTTTTTCAAGCTGGTAATGAGGATACTGCATCTTTTTGTTCATATTTGCTCCTAAGACATTTCAGGCCATGAAAATCAGTCCAGCTTAGCTTGTGAAGATGGAACCTCCTCCAGCAGAGCCATGGAGAAGATCTCTGGAAATGCAGATTTCCAGAGCACCCTGGAGCTGAAAGACCACGACCCATTTGATATTTTTGGGTAAGTTCAACTTGCTGGCTGTGTTTTTTATGACATTTTTAGATTATTCAAGATGCCAACCATGTCAGAACTGAAATAAAACCAGCCCCAGCTCTCTTGCTATTAGCAGGTAATGCACAATTCAAGTCAGCATGACCTGTGTGGTGTCTTGGTGTTCTAAGCCCCCTCTCAGGCAGCTCAGAGTCAGAACTGAGGGATTTATTTTGTTGTTTGGACTCCAAATGATAAATTTGGAGATTGTGGGTTTTTCAGTGCATTAACACAGAGATTTATGAGGTGAATCTCTTATAATCATCTGCATTCTTGGGTTGTGACTCACCATGTATTTGTTATTTTGCCTTGGACACTGAGGAAAAGGAAGTTGCTGAAGTTCTGTGTCTCACTGGTTTCTCACTGGGATCTCCTCCCCAGCAGGGTCAGAGGAGCACTGAAGGGAGCTCCATGCTGTGTGCTTAGAGCTGATTCAGAGATTTGGGACAGAAACTGAGGGAAAAGCTGAATTAGAGTAGCTTGTACTGCCAACATCTCCAGGAAAAGCTTTTTTTTTGTTGTGCCTTTTAGTTCAACACATGTGAACATATGTCAGCAGGGCTTAAAGCAGAGAACTTGGGCAATTGGAGGCACTGGAAATCACTGGGGTGTGTTTCTTTTCAGGGACTGGGAGGAAAGCCAAATGGATGCTGAGGAAGCAATTCTGGAGGACAAACAGCAGGTTCTGGCATTGCAGTGAACATGGAAAAGTCAGTTCTGTCTCCACCTTTGCATGGTTCAGAACCAAGAGGATCAAGAGGTGTTTTAAGTTCTGCTCAAGACATCATTTACTAAGGAATATTCTGCAAAGTTGTCATTAAAACTTCTTGAAAACTTCTTGATTTGGTTTGTTAATAATTCTTACTATGAAGAAACAACAGAATAAAAGAACTTCTCTTGTGCTGCTATTTTTTAGGATTGTTTTATTTATTGTTTTTAATTCAATTTAAGTTTCCTTGTCTGCAGGTGGAGTTTTGTGTCTCCAAATGTGGTTTTATGTGGCCAAGCTGGAAAGTGGCACACCAGGGGTATCAATGGGATAAATTGGGGTTTCTGTATGATCAGGTTTGTGGTGAGAAGCACAGGAGGAGTCCCTGAGGTCAAGTACCCTTTGTCACACGTTTTAGAAGGGACTGAACCTTGCAGAATAGAATTTAACAGCTTTGCACTGGACATTGAACTTCTCCTGCCACATTCCTTTCTTCCCAACTGCAGCAGGGAGCCCAGAGCAGCAGCAAACCTGTGCTCAGAATCAAATGGGAGTGAATTCCCTTTCTTTCCCTGCTCCAAAATTCCAGTTCAGATGGATCTGTGTCCAGGCAAATCCAGCTGTGCTCTAAGTTACTGCCTTACAGGCCTTTGATAATTTAAAGAACAAAGAGGAAATGCAGTTCAAATCGTCCTGGTTGGTTTGAATTTTAACAAACAGCCCCAAGTGTCCTTTTGAACTTGCTCTATTTGTGTTGAATAAAAAGCTTTTTTCTTCCTCCTCCCCAGAAAGTCTAAGGTTTTTATTAATGCAATTAATATAATTTCTGTAAAAGGTCATTTGGCCAATGTGGTGCTTTGATGTAAAGAGGGTTTGGGGACTTTCTGTTCTTGTTGAGGAGATGCTTAATTGTACCCAGTAATTGAGTGGCTTTGAAATTAGCTAAATGGTATCTTTTGCTAACATCTTTAGGGTTCTCAGACACAGCAGCTTGCTGAGCTTGAAAGTTCTCTTTCCCTTCATGTGCCTGACTCTTTCCTCCTTTTGTTTCCTTCACTGTGGGTTTTAAGGAAAACTTCCCCCTTCTCCCCTAGTTTTGATAATAAAGGTGTATCAAAGGCAGTGACAAAGATTTCTCTTTTTGTGTTGGGGAATTTTGAAAGTGGGATTAATTAGAAGCTTTTGTCTGACAATTGTTCTTAGATGTTTATGGGTGAACTACCTGGCAGAGCTCTAAAATTCATGGAAATTGTTATCCTCCAACTTTCCTTTAGGAAGAGAAGCTTTAAATTCTGCTTTTCTGTGTTCAGAGGTGGCAGGTGCCCTTCACTAATGGATCAGTGGAAGCATTCCAGTGTCTGATTTGGTTTCTGGCAGTTAAACCCACTCTGGTTTGGATTCTCTGCTGTGTTATCTGCCCCCCCAGCAGCTCTGCACTAATATCAGACAACGCTGTAATCTTTGCAACAATTTCTTTTACAGAAAGAGTACTTCAGCCACCCTCATTCATACAAACTAGAGGCATCAGGCTGAACAGACCATTGATTTGATTTCCTGCCTCATTTCTTGTCTTTAAGGTGAGGGCATATTTTCCACCTCAGTTTTCTTTATAGAGTTTACCATATATTGATGTTTTATTACAGCAGTTCTTTGTCAGAAATTGGGAGAATAAAATCACAAAGCAGGAGTTCTGCTTTGGAGATGGAGGCCAGTGCTTTTCTCTCATCAATGTAACCTTTCTTTTTCAGTTACTCTCCCAAATATTCCTATTACACTCATTCCACTGGCACAGGCAGCCTGACTGCTTCCATGCTGTTCCCAACCTTTTTTAACAGGAAAACTGATGAAGCAGCTGCTGCTGCAGAGTGTGCCTCGAGCCCTCAGCAGGCAGGGTAATCCTTTAAATTTGGGCTGCTTGGAGATAACCAGAAAGTCACTGAGTGCTTTCAACATCTGATTTTCAAAGTTTTCCCTTCCCATCCCTTTTGCTTGAAAGAAAAAAAAAAAAAAAAAAGCTTCTGATAGCACTTGCAACAAAATTTGGGCTGACAATAAGCTCCCTTTGATGTATTAGTGATCTCTGTTTAGGCAGTGGTGATTTTAATATATCTCAGTTTTATCTTCCTGATTTAAAACATTTGAAGCAGTTTTGTGGGTTTTTTTTTTTCCCCTCTGTTTAAGTTATAGTGGTGGAACTGGTATCCTAAACAGATGACAAAAGGAGCATCTGAATTGCTGCAGTTCTGTGATACGTTTGTTGCTAACAGAATAAATTTAGAGCTGGAAAGTTGAAAGCTTTTTATTATTATGAATGTGGTTTAATGTAATTCTCTGTGTGATCTTTAAGGTCCCTTTCAACCTAAGCCATTCTATGATTCCTTGATATCAATACATTCCTTGATATCAACACAATCTACAAATGATGATTTCTTTTTTTTTTTTAGGGTTTATTTTTATTTCTACCTGTGCTGTTGTAGAGATGCCTGATCCATACCCAAGTGTCAAGGGATTTGCACAGAAACATCACCTTTCCATTCCATTTAGAGGAAGAGAAACAAGGAGGGGGAAAATGAAAGACCACTTCATTTTTTGGAGCTTCTGGGGTGAGTTTGTCTTTTTGTGTACATTGACTTTTGGTGATTGTATAAACAGAAATCCTGGGAAATGACTTGGCCATCAGTTTGGGTTTTGAGAGAGGACATCACATTCATTATATATAAAAGCTCCACCTCTTGTGCCTGGCTTGTTGTGTGTGGCCATTTTCTGCTCTCAGTGCCATATACAGCAGGGTAAAGGGGAACAACACCAATGCCACAGGATTCCAAGTGCTGGAATTCCCAATCTGCCATTCCCCTTGTCTTCCTCACGTGCATTTCAGGGTGGGATGAGCTGTGATGCCATATCCTGACCCACATCTATGCTTGCTTCTCATCAAACAGCCAAATTCCCATCAATGAGCTCATTTAAAGTCTAAAATGAATGCTTCTTGTGCTCAAAATCCAGACCAATTTATCAGGGAGTCCTTGAACTATTTTAACTGGCTGCTGTTGGTCTGGCTGCCAGACTTTATTTTGTTGTAGAAGGGCCACTCCTCCAAGTCAGAGAAACCCCACCAAGTCCTTTCTCAGCTGGCTTTGCACACAGGGATGGGCAAAGGTTGGGCAGTGAAAATTGGGGTTTTCCTGTTGATTCTTCTTTTCAACCAGCAAGGGATGAATTCCACTGAAAACCCTGTGAAGGTCTCTGCTCCCTGCTCCAGAGCAGAGCTCTGTTCTACCCTTTGGTTTTACCCTTTAATAGACTTTAAGATGCTGTCATTTGCTTCATCTCATTTATAAAAATTAAGAGTTGTTCTTTCCTCCATCATAATATAGCTTACATGCATCTCATTTAATTATCAGGAACACATAAACCCAATTAGTTTTAATTTATCCAGACCATTTGCATCAGAGACAAATACATCTGTCTTTTTCATTTCAAAAATGAATCCTGCAAATTGCAAGCCATCAACACAAGGGCATTTCTAAATTATTTTGGTCAAGAGAACTGTTCCGTGACTTTCTAGTTAATTAGGATTAATTAGGTTGTTTAATATGCTTATGCTTTTGGTAAGGGATGGAAACATAATAATCTATTTTATGTTAATAATACAGATCAGTTAACAAGCCCAAGGAATGCAAGCCTCCAAAACCAAAACTGATTTTCCATATATTGAGGGATGTAAAGACCCTCAAAGAAAAACTGTGATTTATTTCAGTAAAACTGAGGGATTTCAAATGCAGGTTTCCAAAGGAATTACAACAGAGGGGTTAAGGAACAAATAAATATTCAGCAGAATGAGCTGTGAAACCTTCCTAGGTATGAATTAGGTTCTGTTTTAATTTAACTAAAAATCTGGAAATAAACCCCAAACCTAACAAAAACTCCTCAGCAGATCCTTCAGGATTTGGCCCAGCGTGTGTCTATCATATCTCTCTGAACATAATGCACCAAAAATTACCCAGTGTTTGTGTTGAAGAATACAAACATAATTTTTAGTTGGTTATTTTTTGGGGCAGCATTTCTTGTGTACTTCTACTTTTTTTCTGATATTGGCAAGATGAAATAGTATAAAACTCCATCAACTATGTTTTGTTTTCCTTTGTTTGCTGTGGTTCTTCCCTGTGTTAAATTTGCTGCAGATGTGCTGATTTTTGGTTAAAGGAACTCTTCACTGGGAGACGCCTTCCATAATTTCCTGCTGCAGCCAGTTTTTCTGTGCCATGAAATAATGGCAGTGGATGCAGAACTCTGAATAAACATCCTCATAAAGATGGAGAGGTGATCAGTGTGAGTTGGGAATTATGCTTGGATCTACCAAAATCCTGTTTATAACCTTAAAATGGTGTAAATTGAGCAATGAAAAGTTATCAAAATACAGTGCCCATGGTGTGGTGCCCACAAACCATTTCTACCAGTGCTGCTTCTGCACTAGAGCCATGACAATTATTTTATGGTTTTTTATTGTAAGTTTGAATCATTTCTACAAGGAAACCTGAAGAGAAGTTAATTGAATGTGGCTCAGTTTGAAAAATGTGAACACTTTTCTTAAAGTGCTCTGAAACAGCCTGGAAAAATCATGCTCTTGTTGCATTATTTTTGTCTGGCTGCTGGAGCTTGCCAAATACAAATATACTTTCTCCTCTACTATATTTAATTTTCCTACTTATATTACATTAGAGTTACTATTAAATTATCAAATAGATACATCATATGTTGCTTGAAACACAGCTGCTGTTATTTGCATTTAGCTGTTAGTGCTGTAAAACCACTTTTTATGGTCACAGTAAGAACACCAGCTACAAACAGAACAAAGAGGGTTTTTGGTTTGTTTTTTTTTTAAATAACCTAGCAACTTTTGAGGCAGGGAGGAATCACATCATCTGGCCTGATTCCAATCATTAGGCTTGCACAGGTTGTTTCCTCTCTTGGCCAACCTGTTAATGAAGGTTAAAATTTCATTCTGCTAAATTTTTTGTAGAAGTTGAGGTGAGCCAGTCTTCAGAAATGTTTGGCCTCAAATCAGGTGAGAAAGGAGTCAGAGGACAGAGTTATGATAACAGTTTCTGGATCAGAAAGAGCTGCAGGTATGGATGCAACCTTTCCTCCTTTCCTTTCCTGCACATACCTCCCCATTTTTTCCTTCCTGTTTTTGTTTGG